GTTCTCTTCTAACTCTCTGATTTAATGATTCTTAGAAGATTGCAGAATGTTTTCTTTAATAAATAAATGAGAAAAGACTTATAATCTGTAAAATGAATTTAGTCTAAGTGTACATAGGTCGCTCTAAAGTACCAGCAGACCACCCGATTTCTTCAACAGGTTAAAACTCTCCTTGCAATCTAGTTAATGAAAACTTTTTCCATGTATCATGGAAAGGTAAACTTTATCTGGCCTGTTTCCCAATTATTAAAGTTCCAAATCACTGAAATATAAATAAATGAGACTTTACCGTACTTAGAACACCGGTATGATGAAAAATTTGTTTACACCGGGAGGTTTTAGGTCATCCTTCAATCATTCATCCCCGGAACCAAAGTACATATGCGCATGAGCACACATGCATATACACACGCGCATGCGCGTGCGCGCACCTCCCCCCCCCACACACACACACAAATGTGACACATGGTAAATGTTGGGCACTTACTGAGCTGGAACAAAGGAGACCTTCAAATTCCATCGCCTTTTTAACCTTATATTTTTCTAGGCAAGAATCTGAGAAGCCAAATCAAAGGCATCTAAATCATGTTATTAATCATGACATACTAAGCTCTTTGTCTCTAATTCCTCGTCTTTTAAACACATTACTTTGGTCTAGGTGGTGCTAAGTTGAGGAGTAAACGGGAGTATTTTGAAAACATTAACAAATTTGAAGAGATCATATTCACTTTGGCTAAATTGGTTCCCTATGTAAAGAGCTATACCAGGTAGCCATTTGAAGGAACTCTAATTATTGCAAAAGGGCTACACCTGTAGATTTTTCCTAATCTAAAATTAAACCTGTAAGGCTCTGCTGGAATCATTTAGAAAAGAATAATTGAAACCCCCTTCAGCAAGTTAATTCAGATTCTCCTAATTTTACTTTTCTGGTTCAGAAGGTATCTTTTTTATCATGGTGTTTTCAAATTGAAACTCACACACATCAAATAAATAGCATGATAATCAGAGGTTTCAATATCCAATACACACTCATTATTATCTGTCATTATTGTCAGTGTCACTATTATAATTGCACATTGTAAAAAGAATGGAAGCTTTTCCACAGGAATTATTCACATGTATTACTTTCTAGGAGTAATTGAATAGTTGACATTGCATTTATATCAAAGTAAAATATGTGATGGTTTTTCTCATTTGTTTTATTCTTAAGAAACAAGAAATGTAAAGTGATCTCTATTAGTCCCCTTTATTTGGATCCAGGAAGGTTCAGTTTTATGTAATTTCCAAATGTATATTTTCTTATAACAAGGCTCAAAAGATATCCAATATGATTAAAGTGATAATTTTCCAAGAACATATAAGGTAACAACTGGATAGTGAAGTCCTCTTAATTAGCTTATATTTATATACATGAACTCAACAAGAATCTCAGTAAAAAATACTACTTTTCTTTTTTAACTATTTAATCAGGTTTGGTATGTTGAAATGAAGCCCACATTGTATTGCCAATATCTACAGATTAATAATAATTTACCTTAGAGTTTATGTAGAACTTTCACTTCATCATTTTACGTAATCCTCATGACAATGTGGATTAGAGACAAGCAAGTCAGATACTATTAATCTATTTAAAGATGAGAAAACAGAGGCTCCAAAAAGCCAAGTAATTTATACAATATTACTCTGCTGAATAGAAAATTAGCCTTAGAGGAGCTCCTGGTTGGCTCAGTCAGCTGAGTGTCTGACTTTGGCTCAGGTCATGATCTTGGGGGTCCTGGGATTGAGCCCCATGTTGGGTTCTGCTCAGTGGGGAGTCTGCTTCTCCCTCTCCCTCTGCCCCTCTTCCTGCTGATTCTCTCTCTCTCTCAAATAAATAAATAAAATCTTAATAAAAAAAAGGAAAAGAAAATTAGCCCTAGAATCCCAGTCATCTGGGTCTTAATCAGAAGTCATGGTAAAATAAAAATTAAAAAAATAAATTTGAATTTTAGAAATATCATAGGCCTGGTAGCATTAAGAGGCCTAGGCCTCAACACTCTTTAGGCCATTTTATTTTACTATGGGAGCCTTCTAACACCCCTGTAAAAGGGAGTTATTTCTGTGCCTTTAAGGCTGTTTTGCCAGTCAATGGAGAAAACGGGGAGAAAAACATTCACATGTGTTCTGTGAGTCTATGTGTTCTTTCTTCTGCCCTCTACTACTTCTCACATGCTTTATCCTATTTTTGGTTTCTATGTGAATCACCTTCAGAAGGTAGAGTTTTAACCTTTATTTAGACTTAAATAATATCGATACAGATTAGAAAACTGAGTGACACAAGCTTTAGAAACAAAATAATCCAAGGGAAATGCCATAATAAAGTTGAATGAATGATAATACGAATTAGTAATGCAAGATTTAAAATGTGTTTTCACTCACTACAAGGCCATACATGATGACCTTAAAACACAGCTCCTTCACAGAAAACACACAACCAGTGAGGGTAGGTAGAATTTCCTTTCCTTCCATGTAATTCTTCATCACATTCCCTGAGGAGGCTGGATGGTTTAGAGATTTATCTTAGTTTATGTGGAGGCTTTCATGGCTGCTATGCTAGCTAGCCATTTGAGTCACGTCATTGTTGGCAGGGGTGAAGGTTGTTACCATTTGCCAACTGTTCAGTGGCTTAGGTATTGGTAGTCTCCGGCCAGTTCTTAGAGGACAGATGGCAGTGCGTGGCTCTTTGGGCAGAGAGAACAAAGACTCTAGATCCTCTCCTCATCTGCAGAGATGGTCCATCTAAACTGCTGTTGAAAATCACCCATGTGGATGTGTCCAGGGAAACTGGCCTTATCAATTAATGAAACAACCCTACAAACATCGCTAAGTCATTCATGAAACACATTTTAAAAGCAGTACCTTTATTTAAATATGAAAACAGAGATTGAATTAGATTGCTTCGGTCCCACTACAGCTTCCCTGAGTCCTTTCCTCTTCTGCCTGACCATAGCTATCTGGCAGCTGGTAGATGTGTCCTGTCATGACAGCCACAGAAGGGCGCCTTCCAGTTGACCAGGAAACGTCACCACAGGGTACCCAATAGCAGCAACTTAAAAAAGAGTACTTGCTCTCATCTTGACTTGTCTTAGACTCACAGAGTGGTTGATTATTTGGACCAAAATGACAATAATAGAATAGTCTTCTATTAGTTCTGTAACCATGCATTTAGGAGATTACATAGCACATCAATTACGTATGTTCTCATTTCAAAATAACAGAAAGCTACTTACTGCACTGAGTATCCATCACCCCTCTTAGCAGACCACCCCAATCACTGAAATCCTCAAAGTATGGAGCTCTTTGCTATTGGATTCTGGTTTTGTTTCACAACTACTGGTCTATAAGGTATATGGGTACAGTTCCAAAGTACTTTAGATTCAAAGAAGCGAGGGGGCTTTTTTTGGTGACAAAATTAATACTGTAAGCTGATATTACACTAGGCATCCTTCCGGGAAGTACAGCCCCTCTATCCATGATTGCCTGATAGGAGTTTCTCCAGAAGGTATTTTTTGTACTGAGGCATATACAATGCATTCAATGGCACCAGAGTTTCATTAAAGGAATTCTCCTGTTCCCTTCCTTCACATGGAAATGTCATTAACTCTATTAAGTTAACTCTCCGAATGTTAGGTTCTTAACCAACAAACAGTGCTTCTCCACAAGGGCATACTTTGCCAAGCGTCCTTGAATCAGAACGATGGGCTGACTATGTAATAACAGACTGAGAGCCACCACCGCGGGTTGCGATCATATTTAAGAGGAACCCTTTTGTATTTATTGACTTTTTTCCTTCAGTCATGCTTGTTCTGTTTCTTCCACCACCACCTTCAGCCTTTCAGGTAAATGAAAAGTTCAATTATATGTAAAGCGACCGTTAAATCAGCAGGCCCCTCGTGGGGGTCTGGGCCTCCCCTCCCTGCTCCAATCGCAAGTGTGCTCAATCCATTAGCCTTCCTGAGGATCGCACATCCATCAGGTCGCATGTGCTGGCCAGGGTGCATCTTACAGCTTTTACTGCATATGAGACATTGCAGGCCTGTTCTCAGGAACTGCCAAGCAGACTGGGAATCACAGTCACGGTTAATAGCAGCGAATTGCCAGCTCTTGATGGGTGGGTAGTCACTCCTTTCAGTGGTTGCCCCCTGGGGGAGAAGGTAGAAAAACAGAGGGAGGGAATTAGAGTGACTTTGCACAGTTGAGCAGGTTCATGCGGCTGGATCAGTGGCAAGCATTGGCAGGGCTCCACTCTGGGGAGGCTCAAAACAGCCTCACAGTCTCATTTTTACCAATTGGTGCTGCTGTGTCACCAGTGGTACCCAATGATGGGGGTTGGGGGGTGGGGGGCTGGGGCAGGGAAGGGAGGGGGCTCCGGGAAGGAGATGAAGGTGGAAGTGTCAGCTAAATTAAACAAACAAAAAGTCTTCTTGATGCTGGTTAACCTTCCCCAGTTAGCCCTGTGCTACTAATTGTACCAAACTGGTATTCGAAGTTCCCTGGGTGATTAAAGAGTTGGCTCACAAACTCTCGGCATAACCTTAATTTTTTCAAGGTTCTTTGAGTGGAGAATGGCTTATAATAATGATTTTGACTAATACGATTTTTGACATGCAACTTTAATGCTTAACCTTAGTACAACTCCAGAGCATTTCATGTGTACTCAGCTGTAAAGAGTGATGATTTAAAGGGATAATATAAGAAAAAGGTCGTTCTAGAATGAACCTCTAACAAATTGCATAAAGGGAGCTTATTATTCCATGAGTATGGGGATATGCTGCTCTTCTGATCATTTTTCTGCTTGGTTCAAAAAAATTGTTGAGACATGAATGGGAGAAGAAACAGGAAAAAATGAAATAGAAATCTGCAAGCAAGGAACATTCTTTTGATGGTTATGATTTCGCGTCGCCACTAAAAAGGCTCTACAATAATGTGGTTATTCATCTCCTCTTTTGTTTTGGGTGAAGAATTCGCTCTAACAAGAAAATGCTGTTATTGGTCGGAGGCTTGCCTCCTGGGCCGGACCGGCTCCCCAGCAACTTGGTTCAGTACTACGATGATGAAAAGAAGACATGGAAAATACTCACAAGTGAGTGCCTTTCTTTATTTATTTGCTCACCTATTTGTTTCAGGTTAGAGCTGTCTCGATGAATTCGAAAACATGGCTAATCAAATTAGACATTTTATTGATTTGTTACCCTTTGGAGGTCTGTTTATGTATAACCGGGGATTTAGAGTAAAAGACTAAATTAACATTGCAGAGGTGGCCAATTTGGTAGTCGAATAGGCCTAAATTAAACTGACCTAAAAGCACTGCGTGAGTTTGTCTCTGTGACAGAGAGGGGGTGGTCACAGAGACATGCCGAAAGAAATGCCTCCGTTCTTTTTTTTGCTTATCGAAAAGTGAAAGGTTGGTTAATAGCCCCAGTAAATTTTCTCACATCATAAGGGGTGTTTCGCTCATTGTCTTTGTAACTAACATTCATTTTGCCTTTTAGACATTTTCTGCTCATTCGTCTTTGGTCTGTAAAACTGGGTCTTAGAGAAACACTCCCCTCAATAGAGCAATAGTAATAGCTCCACAGTTTGGATGGACAGATATCCGTGGCCTATCCCAGCTGCATTCAATTGAGCTTGCAAACTTCCACCCAAGATTCCCTTCCTCCCCTCCTTAAAGGGTGATTGTGTTTTACAGCAAACCTCTTGCCTTGGGCACTGAGATTTGGAACTTACTGTTACGTCGGTTATGATTCCCAATCTGACTCAGTCATGGAATCAAAAATCATCATTTCTTGAGCGCAGCAGGCTCGTGTACCAGGCCCCTCATGGGCACAGTGGCTGCTCTGGTCAATAAAACTAAATTTTAACTGTCAAAATTGCCCAGAGCTGTATAGATAAAATAATAAATGAGTGATTTTGATCCATAAATCAAAGCCATACATTGAAAACCGACAAAAGAGAAAGTTAGATTTTCTTATAGCATGTGTCTTTTAAGCAGTTATATATTTTATCAGATTTTTTAAAAATCATTTCCTTTACTCTTACTAAAAGCCTTTCAAATAATAGAAACAGAACAACAGTTTGCCCATAAGAGCAGAAGAGGCACAAAGACATGTGAGGTGGTGCTTGAAATAATACATTTCGGAGCTGGCTTACCCCGGCGAGACAGCCAGTAGCATTGTCCAGGATCTGCAACGAGGAAGCTCCCCGGACACCCATACGCTACGGTTGTAGGAAAGAAGTGGGGGGATCATAGCAGGAAGCTTAAGGAGAAGGAAGGAAGAAAAATCAGTTAGAGATCCTTAAAATGGTTTTCATTCTCTTTTTTGACAAAAGGACTGTTAATAGTGATTTGAACATCTGAATGAGTGACCAAGCTGTATTTTTAAAGTAAAACCAAAGAATCAGTTATCTGACACTGATCAATAGAGAAAGCCTACACAGAATAAGACATGGATGCTAGGAGGAGGAGAGAAGAAAAAGGAAAGACAAAGATTCTCGAAGAGAGATGAGAGAGACATAGAGGCAAAAGAAGTGATACTCATTCACAAATCCGTCTGCTTTCCCAAATACACCAGGCAAAACCCAATTTGCTACTGGTTTGAAGCCCTTCATTAAAGGCAAAAAGATTAATTAAAACCCCATGAATAATACCTAAGAAAAGTCTTAGGTTCATTTTAAAGCTTGTTCGGAGACAGAGTGATCATCCAGTTTGGTCTCCAAACGGGGACACTTCAGAGCATGACATGGGGACCTATTGATTATGCTGAGACAATAGGTATAGACTGGAACATAGGGTCACCCTACTCAAATTTTTCACATTGCCTGATTTAACTCTTTACTTAGAAGGATGTGGTAACAAGACATGAACTTGAATCAGTCAGACCTGCATTCAAACCCATGTCTATGACCTTGAGCCAGGCATGTCAATGTCCCAAAGTCATGGCTTCTTCATTTTGTCAGCATCATTGGAGTATTTTTTAAATAAAATTGTGTTTATAAGTCATCTAGCACATAGCGTGAGCTCAACCAATTCCAGGTGTTGTGGCCATTATTAGAACACCACCACCAGTCTGAGCACAAGGACTGTGTGGACCTTTATACTCTAGAGGCCTGAGTCAACTCAAGCTCTCTATGCAGAGGGGAGACAAATTACACTGCAACAGATACAGTACTTTGACCCACAGTCCCGGAGCCAGGAACCTATTTTCCATAGTTTTCCCATGTTGCATGTGGTGATCTACAGACTCAGAAGTAGAGATAAATGACTGTCAGTTGACTCCATTCACCAGGTTTGAAATGGAAGGAAATACAGACATGAATGTATACAAAAGTTCTTATAATGGGAGCATACTCAAAGATCTTGAACCTCTTTCCTATAGTCAGGCATGCTTACAGCTTTGAAATAAACGTCTACTCCACTTATACTCTTCATTTCACTGGGACTTGTATTTTCAAAAATAGAGTTTATTACCTGCTGGGCTGTGACTACATGGCCCCAAGTGAAGGCATATTTTTCAGGTTTGTTGGAGAGATATAGACAGTTTATCTGGATGATTTCTGCTGTTGGTGTGTATTTTTTAATTAAGGCATCTTATTTGACTAATAAATAAGTCAGGTCACTGACAGATTTCCACACTATTTGGGCCATCTAACAATAAAGGAAGAAATGTTTCTCACTGGAATAGAAAAAAAAAAATCCAAATTCTCCCTAAATCCAACGAAGCATCTGGGATCACAGAGCTTCCCACTGCCATTCTTTTGACCCTGAAGGACAGCTAAACTTATTGGCAGGGAGATGAGGATGACAGTTAATGCTAGCAGACAGGGCCCATCTTGGGTCTGCTTATTTATCAAATGGCTGTCTCCATACGAACTAACAAATAAGCTAACTAGCAAAAACCTAAAACCCGAGGTTAGCTAGAGCCTCTGAATCTTAGAATCCTTTGCCCTCGTGGCTTGAGCAGACATTTCTCAGCCTGTCTCATAAACATGCTCCTTTGAGAAAGATGGCATTCCCCAGGCAGGAGCACAGATACCCAGTTAGGGGAGCCACATGGCTTACACGAATTTTATAACAAAGAAGAATGCAAAGGATCTCTTTAGATCTTACCCTGTTATGTTTTAGAATCACAGTTTAAGGGGTACAGAAGTAATAATAAATTGAATGAAGGAGGGTAAGTAGAAGGGAGAAAGTGGATCTACATCACATAAAGAAAAGAAATCCAACCGTCAGCCAGTCAGCGGTCTGGTCTACCCAAACAGCAAAGGGAACAATTACTCTCACAGAAAAGACTGTTTTGGTAACATGCTGACACAGATTGCATTTTTATCCGCCTCTTTGGAAAAATCATTTAATATAACATTAAATAATTAATGTTGAGAATAGTGACAGAGCTCCGTGGTCTCTCGTAGAAAAAGTACTGGGAAATAACATGTAAAAATGACTGTAAAGTCCTTTTGTCAGTGTAAAATGTTAAGTAATAACAGTAAAATTGGCATTGTTTTTCTCTTGACTGTTAATAATAGAAGGGAAGTTGAGATGCACTTTCGTTCATTTTTATTTTACAGTACTGCTTTCCCTGCATTTCTCACTCCTGCACGCAGTCTCCCGTTTCATTCTTAACTTATTAGAAAAGCAGTACAGGAGACATGAATACTAAAATGGCCAGTGCAAAAAACATGCCTCTTGCACTTTGCAGGCCCTAAATCCTTGGTGCAAAGATCAAACGAAACAATTCCCATGGCTACTTTATTTTTACAACACAGCAAAGTTCTTATGAAGTCCACATGTGGAAGTCCCCACCCACCCCCACAAGGGACAGCACTGAGGGGCCATCTATTTTCTTCGTGCTCCCCATTGGCCGAGTCCTTCACTGGTGGAGAAAGGTGTTTCCTGGGGACTGACTCCCTTCTTCCTGCATTTCAGATGAGACATTCTACTTGTTAGGTGCTTGTTACTGCTTTCTGTGAACAATGAGGGGGAAAAGGACTTCAAAACAAAGATCTGTCCTTCCATGTGCCCATGACGACTTCCCTTTAATAACGTTAGGATGAAAATTAGAAGAACTAACTTAGAAAGGCATCTTCCTTCTTCTGGCCACCTCGGTTCTCTTTGCCAGAGGTAGGGAGAAATGCCTTTTTTCCCCTCTTCCTTTCAATTGATTTGTGGCTCTATTCTCTACCTAGTAGTGCAGGGGTCGGGGGCCTTGTATTTTTCAGTGGCAGGACATAAAGGAAACCACTGTGTGGAGATTTCCTGGGCTGTCTCCTCTGATCCGTGGAGGACATTGAATTTGATCCCATCCACATGGGAGGGGTTCTGGGTCTGGGTGTCAGTGATTTCTTTTAGGAGAGTCACAAATATCAGAGGCTGGTGGACTCTCCATTCTTCTTTTTTTTTTTTTTTTAAGAGTGGGGAGGGGCTGAGGGCGAGGGAGAGAGAGAATCCCAAGTAGGCTCCATGCCCAGTGCAGAGCCCAACCATGGGGCTAGATCTCACGTCCCTGAGATCATGACCTGAGACGAGATTAAGAATCGGTTGCTCAACCCAGGTGCCCCTTCATTCTTTTTTTAAAATATACTGTCTAGGGATGCCTGGGTGGCTCAGTCTGTTTAGACATCTGCCTTTGGCTCAGGTCGTGATCCCAGGGTCCTGGGATCGAGTCCTGCATCAAGCTCCCTGCTCAGTGGGGAGTCTGCTTCTCTCTCTGTCTGCTGCTCCTCCTGCTTGTGCTCTCTCTCTCTCTTTCTCTTTGACAAATAAATAAATAAAATCTTTAAAAAAATAAAATAATATATACTTTCCATAAATGTTGAAGGACTAGTAGTACCAAGGAAGCAAATCTTATATAGGACAGTGAACTTCAGTTCCAAAAGATACATACAGGTTTGATCATATCTGATACCTAATAATTCCTGATTATTCAGGAAATAATAAGCCTGCACACTGATACTTTCACCTGGACTTCTTTCCTTGACCCCTGTGTTTCTTGACTTCAGTTTATTTCTTTGAGGATATGTTGGAGAGAAAGTCAAGTTAGTCAAAAGCTAATAATCATTTCTTATGATTATTTATTTAGAAAGAAA